ACCTGACCCCAAGGTCGTCTGAAGCAGGAGACCTGGCCCTATGGTCGTCTGAAGCAGGAGACCTGGCCCTATGGTCGTCTGAAGCAGGAGACCTGGCCCCAAGGTTGTCTGAAGCAGGAGAACTGGCCCTAAGGTCATCTGAAGCAGGAGACCTGTCTGTCTCTCAGGTTAATCTACAAACCAGTCTGTCTCCTCCCATCAACACACATCCCTCCCCAGCAACCACTTGCTGCACCTATACTTTCCACATTCTCCCCCTCCCATCCAAAAGGCATCTATAAAGGTCTCTGACCATCACTGGAACTTTGGGTAATCATTCTTGTGGTTCCCCCCATGCGCATGGTATTTGGAAATAAACCTTTCTCTTATTAATCTACCATAATTGTAAGTTGATCTTTCAGCAAACCAGACCAAGGGTAAAGGGCAGGTTTCGCCCTGATCCCCACAGCTTCCAGGGTGGACTCACATTAGTGTCCTATATGAGATGTCGATGCTACAGCAGAATCCAGGTGGCTTTGAGGAGAACGTGCAAATGTGTGAGATTGAACAACGGGTATCAACAAAGCAGAGGGCTTAGTATTGTACAAACCGTCTTGAGCCCAGATCTCCAAACCCACTCATCATTTTAGTATCAGCCAAGAGAGCTACTCCACTAGCAGCCATTCAAAGGAGAGGGAAATAATGCCTCCTATACACACTTAAAGGTATTTCCTAATTCTGAACAGAAACACATTTCAAAAACTGTTTAAGTTTTAATTTTGAAATCATTTCAGACTTACAGGAAAGTTGCAAAAATAGCATAAAGAAATGTGTACCCTTCACCCAGACTGCCCGAATAATAGCAGTTTTCCACATTTGCTGCAGACAGGAGTCCTGTCTGTGTACACACACACACACACACACACACACTCTTGTGGGCTCTCTTCTTTTCTGTACCATTTGTAAGTTGCAGACATTATATCTCTTCACCTTTAATTACTTCAGTGTGTAGTTTCTTAAAAGAAGCCAAATGTGGAACATAAATGTCTTAACACAACAACATGACATGAAGGCTGTGTTAACCAGTTGGATGAAAGTATTCCAAATTGTATATAATAACAACCTGCTGTACCCCATGATAGTATTAATGTACACAGCTATGACTTAATAAAGAAATTTTAAAATAAAGAAGCCATTCTGTTGCATAACTACAGTACAATTACCAAACCCAGAAAATCAACACCCTTAACCATGTTAACACGACCACCTGATCTTCAGACTGCATTCAGATCTAATGCTCCACAATGTCCTTTATAGCAAATAAAATACAGGATGTTTTGGTCCAGAATCCAATCCAAGATCACATATTCTAGCACTTAGTTGAAATTGTTTATTCAAAGGGATCATAAATCTTCAGTGTTAGAAATTTTTCCTTTAAGATAACATTTGTTTTCCAGTCAATCAGTTGGCCGGTCAGAAGGGTCTAGATCAAAAGAACGTCTTCTAGAATATTTGCCTGCACTTATGGGGGTGGGGGGCATACAAATAGTTAAAAGAAAGATATTTCATTGTACTGATTATATGCAAGTCAGACAGTATTAGGGGAGATTTGTTCTTCTTGGCTTTATAGGAAAAAGCGTGAGTGTCAGTGCTCAAGTGTGGCTTGTCTGCGAGTGCCCCAGGGGTCACGTCGCAATGTCATTCTGAGAGAGCAGGTCTTGCCTTTCCTCTGTGTTCGCACCGTGGTCACAGTGGCTGCGCTTTCTTTGCAGATGTGGTGCTGGAAAAAGCCATGCACAAGTGCATCTTGAAGCCCCTGAAGGGGCACGTGGAGGCCATGCTGAAGGACTTCCACGTGGCCGACGGCTCCTGGAAACAGCTCAAGGACAACCTGCAGCTCGTGCGGCAGAGGAACCCGCAGGAGCTGGGGGTTTTTGCCCCCACCCCTGATTTCGTGGATGTGGAGAAAATCAAAGTCAAATTCATGACCATGCAGAAAATGTATTCACCAGAAAAGAAAGTCATGCTGCTGCTGAGGGTCTGCAAGCTCATCTACACCGTCATGGAGAACAACTCAGGTGAGGCTGCGATCGCCCGGCCTGCCTGCGCCAGTGCCAGCTCAGACTTCCCGTCCCCAGTTTCTCCTCCTTTCTGTCCCTTGTTTTAACCAGGTCACTCACCAAAATAGAAAGTTTTTCTCTGATAGCTGCCAAGTCAGTCACATGCAACAGATTAATGGCACCAAAAAAATATAAGTGGATGAGGTCAATGAGATTTTTGTATGATGCCACTTTAATGAAATATTTACTTCTGAGCATGGTTCTCTGGAGTTTGAGTTCAAATCTGCCCTACATATAGGAGTTCCTTAACTGGGGAATGTTGGCCACCTCAGTCATCCTTGTACACTGCCTGAGGTTGGTTGTGACCCTTTCCTTATGAAGGAAAGGGGACTCGCTGAGGCTGCTGGACATGGCTTATGTGCAGTGGACGTATTAGCAATGAAGTTTATCGCATTTTGGTGAATGCGTGTTTGTGTCAGTGAGTCAAAAACTCCAAGCAGTTGGTAATAATGAGGCTTCATTAAAGACATTGCATTGCTCACCCTTTTTTGCTAGAAGCAATGTAATCGAAATTCACCAAAAAGTTACAAAGTTGGCTTCCCCAGGCTGCTTCCTGGGATGCAGGAGTAGCCTGATTCCTGGAGAGTGATGGAGCCTGCATTGTCCCAGCTCTTCCGTGGCCTCATTCCAAGGAAGACAACCAGCCATCCTTCCAGGCTCAGTTGCTCCATGGAGAAGCAACGGAGAGAAAGTGTGGGTTCTACTAACCGCTGCTTGAGTAGAGGGAATGTGTGTGCACATTGTGAGCTGCTGCGTGAGGACATTAAAATCTGAGCTTTTGGTTTTGATGGCCATAGCCTGTGAACAGGGCCTCTGAAATTTGCAAGCACGTTTCACATATAGGAATCATTTTCATAGTTCACAATTGTTTGTAAACATTCCCAAAATAGTCTCTGCACAGGAGTGTGTCCTTCCGAAGCACAGTTTCTCAGCCTACACGCTACTGACATTTTAGACAGGATAGTTCTTGGTTGTGGGAGCTGTCCCGCCTCCTGTAGGAAGTTTAGTGCCACCCCAGGTGGCATCCGCATCCCTCCATACACACCTGACACAACCGTATTTGTGATGATGAAAATTGTGTCTAGGCAGCGGCAAATGTCCCTGTGGGGGCACAGAGGGTGGAAAAATCTCCCTCAGCTGAGAACCGCCATGGTCAAGAAAACCAGAAATGAAGATGAAAAGCTTTTGCCCTGTTTTGCCATTAATTAATGTGTATGGGCAGCCTGTTCTTCCTTGGCATATTGAATACAGAGCAAAGATTATTCCTGGTTTGAGTCTGGTTTTGTCCTTATGTCTCTGAATAATGTGAATATAAAGCAATAGGAGAGAATACAAAGAATTAGCATATATTTTATAATATTATTTGCTGACACTGAAATACAGTAGAACCTCTGTAAGTTGACCACGGAAGGGACTATAACAAACTAGTCAACATACAGAGGTGGTCAACATAAGGAACCAGGCCTGCTGTTTTGATATATATGTGTGGTGCATGTCCAGTCTATGAAAATGAGGTCAATTTAAGGAAGTGGTCAGTGTGGGGAGGTGGTCAGCTATGGAGAATCTACTGTGGTTTAAAATACAATTTATTGTATAACACAATTTAATGCAAGTCCTAAGAATAAGGAGAAAAATCTGTAATGTGTTAATGGACTTGGACTCACAGACATTCATTCTGAAATTGTGAGGAGGGCTGGTCTCTAACACAAGCAGCTGGGGGAGCCGTGGGCTGCACAGAATTCCAGAAACACCCACCTCTGTTTATAAATAGCACATTTCCCCAGGATGACTGCTTGCTATCTAATAACAGCAGCAAGTAGGATGTGAAAGAAAGATTGGTAAAAATGTTCCTGTCTCGCTCTGTCCTCCTACTCCCAGGGAGGATGTACGGCGCCGATGACTTCCTGCCAGTGCTGACCTATGTCATAGCTCAGTGCGACATGCTGGAGCTGGACACTGAGGTTGAGTACATGATGGAGCTCCTGGACCCGTCCCTGCTACATGGGGAAGGTAACTTGCCCTGGGAGGAGAGGAATGGGGTGTGTGTGGGGGGGTGTCCTTTGGGATTTTTCCATTTTCATTTTTTTAATTTCAATAAAATTCACATAACAGAAAAACATTTTAAAGTAAACAATACAGTGTCATTTACTAAATTCATAATATTGTGCAGCCACCACCACCTCTAACCCCCAAATACTCTCCACACCCCAAAATAAAACCCTGCATCCAGTAATAAGCAGTTGCTTGGGAGCTTTTTGACATCTTAAATGTTAACTATAATTTTAAAGTTTTTTTTTACTTTGAAAGAATATACTGACCTTTTTATGATTACCAAAGTAAATACATGCTCATCATAGAAAACTTGGAAAAGTCAGAAAAAAACACAAAGAAAAATGTAACCCGGCCATAATTATTTATCACGGAGATTACTTAATGGCAATAAAATATACTATTCAGTAAGATAAGTGCCAGTTTTTGAAAGAAATGGTTTGATTACAAGAGGAAATTATAAACTTTTGTTGGAAGCCAGAAAAGTCACCTGCTCTTCTATCAGTGAAACGGACAAAGGCCAGCTTTTGTTTTCACCTTTTCTAAAAATTTTGTCTTCAAAATTAAAATGGTGGGTTTTTTTTTTCCAATTAAAAAAAATAGTATCTGCTCATGGTTAAAATAAAAATTCAATGGAATGAAATCTGGATTTTTTTACCCTGGCAATTCAGGTTCTCCTTGTCTCTGCCTAACATGTCTTAGCAGAAATTCCTTCTTCTCACACATCAGAGAAATATTTTATCATGGAAATACTCTGGATGTTTGGCACCAAGGTGCACAGCCTTGAAAAGCAGAAATAACAGGGACTCTGGTGCAAGTTTGTCTTTTTAAAGAACAAATCAGGACCTGTGCATTTGAATCCTATCAATGCATTTTCCTGTGTCTGCATAAGATCCCACACAGACCCTGGGGGCCCTCTTTTTTTTTTTTCTTCTCTCCAGTGAGTTTCAGTCTGGGCAGGAGTAAACAGGTCCACCTGCTGAGAGGATGCCTAAGGCATGCTTCATCCCAGCACTTTCCCTGGAGGGAACTAAATGAATTATCCTCCGAGCTGTTCCCTGGTCTCCTCAGTCCCCTAATGTGAACTCCCCAGGCCTGGGTCTCCCTCCTGCCCTCCCTGGAGCCCAAGTGCTGACTCAGGATCAGTGAAGGTGTCTTTCATCCTGTCCCCACCCAGACAGGTCGGAACAGGCCTCTTTCCTGCTTCTAGCCTCTCACCCAAGGCCCTGTCTGGCTCCTTCCTTGCCTGCTCTGCCCTGGGATTGGACAGGAGGGGACAAATGCGTGGTTTTATCCAGGGACCAAGAGAAACACGTGTCAGTCTAGATGCCAAGCTTTCCTTTCTTCTACTGCGTCATTATTATAATTTGGGTATATTTTTTTCCTAAGCTTCAATCATGTTTAATTCTGATGATAAGTATGCAGAAGTCCTGGGGCTTTGGGAAAAGGGCCATGCTGATGGTGATGATATGCATTTAGGACAAACCAGTCCTTGCATCCTGTGGCTGGAGGACAGAGCCAACCATTCCTGCCCCTTTTCCAGCACAGTCCCTGAGCAAAGATGGGAGGTGGGAGATGGGCAGGTAGCTACTTTCCCTTCCAGAATCCCATGTGAGAGAAAGGACATGAGCACAGCCAGCAGACACACAGAGTGGCTCGTGAGCTCACCCCCGAGCCAGGGCCTGCTTCCACTTCACTGTGTCTGGGGCTTTTGGCCCTCCTTCTTGGGAGAGCGGCTGGCCCAGTAGGACAGGCTGTGGTTACAGACCAGGCCTGCACAGACTAACCAAAGCTGTGAGGCCTAGTGGAAGGGGCTGCTGAGTGGCGGCCACATGTCACAGATTAGATTTTTCATGGCCTGCCTAAGTCCTCTTTGGTTTGTGGGGCAGCAGCCACATCTCTAGATTTCTGCCATTTCAGCAGGTATTCCAGTTTACGGCAAAGGCGTCGGAGAATCCCTTAGCCGAGCACTGCTCTGGTGGTAGGGGTTACAGTTCTGCAGAAATTTAAAACCTTCCTCTAATTGGATCCATATGTTCCCAAATATGGTCAATTTTGAGCTCCCAGCATTTTGAGTTTTTTCCTTAGTGGCCCGAACAGAGCTGTGGACTCAAACTTGAAGTCCGAAGGCACCCTCCCCCACCCCACAGAGACTGTAGCAGTGCCCAGATCCCAGCTCAAATGCCACCCTCCACGCAGCCTTTCTTGAATGGCCTTGCTTTCTCCCCAAATCCTCCATGTAGGATTTATACTCACAACGACTGAGTCTCACACTAATTACGTGTTGATTTGTGAGGCAAGCAGTACAGATCAAGAAGTCAAAACTCTGAACTAGGGAATTTGCCCCATCGGTGGTGAGGTCAGGGAAGCCTTCAAATCACCCTAAACAAAAAGCTTGACCATGATATATGCATGTAAGGTGTGTGACTCAGGGTGGCTCAGGTTATGCTGCAGTAAAACGTAAGCTCCAAATCTCCATCGGCAACCTGCAAACAGCAAAGACGTCTTCCTGTCCCGAGTTCCCACCCAGGGTGAGCTCGCAGGGCCTGGTCCACAACACGGGTGGGCGGAGGAGCTGCCCTCCTGCTCGCTCCCGCCTGCTGACCAGAGAGAGCTCTGCAGGGACTTGCACGAACATGTCCTTCAGCCATGAAGGTGACCCTTCTGCACAAAACCCGCTTAACCGCACCTACCTCCTGGTCCCTGCAGGAATGAATTCCCAGTGTCCATTTTCTTTAATATTTACCAATATTTCTAGAGAGCAGGAACTCAGATTCTGTTTCTTATAAACTAACCCCTGTCTACCCCTGGCTTTGCCTCACAGTAGAGACTCAGTGAGTGTTCCAAAACAGAATGATTCTAAATTTTTTATTATTGTTATTGTGATTTTGAAACCAGGTCTCACTCCGTCACCCAGGCTAGCTGAGCAGTGGCACCATCATAGCTCACTACAACATCCACCTCCTGGGCTCAAGCGATCCTCCTGCCTCACCCTCCCCAGTAGCCAGCACTGCAGGCACAACACCACGCTGGGCTGACTCTAAATTTACAATGTGCTGTGCCCACTTGGGGAATTTTTAATAAACATTTGGGGTGCCCCCTAGTCACTCTCTGGTATGGACATTATAAATTCCTCCAGAGGACCTAATTATACCTATAGTATTTTAAACAGATTACATTTTAGGACAAAACTATGAACAAGTATGTACACATCTCTTGTTGTTGTAAATCCTTTATCACTCCCCAAGAACATAAGATCATTTCTAAATGCACCATAAAAGGGATATCACTTACTTTTCCTTGTAAATTATTTTTTCCCAAATACCCCAAGCGTTGTATTAGTCCCAGAGTAAGGGTAAGGAAGGTAATTAGAAGAAAGAAATTATTTTGAAGTACCTGTATTTTTGTGAACACGTGTGTGTGTGAGATGCAGTTATTTCAAAGTGTATAGTTTACTTAAAATTTAGAAAATACCAATTTCTAAAAGAAAAGCCTGAGAACCAGCACTATAGGAGATCCATAGACTGGAGGAAGTAACTCTGGCTGTAGAGCAGTTGCCCTGACCCCCACCTCCCTGTCAGTTCATGGTACCCCAACCTTTTCTGGCAAACCATGTTCACAGTTGTACTTTTGAGGGGGGTGGGGTCATAGTCTCACTATGTCGCCCTTGGTAGAGTGCTATGGCATCACAGCTCACAGCAACCTCCAACTCTTGGGCTTAGGTGATTCTCTTGCCTCAGCCTCTGGAGTAGCTGGGACTACAGGCACCCACCACAACACCCACCTATTTTTTTGTTATTGGTGCAGTTGTCATTGTTGTTTAGGAGGCCCGGGCCAGGTTCTAACGCTGAGCTACTGGCACTGAGCCACAATTGTACTTTAATCATTTAGAGGTTTTTGTCAAGCTCACCCACTAGGGCAGAAATCCCATCAGAGAAAAGGGGGACATTGTCAGCCTGGCTGGCCCGTGCTCCCCTCCCTGCGCAGGCCTGGGTCACTGTGTGGGTCTCCCTGGGCTGATGTGAGGATGGTCGGGTGACGGAGTGAGTGGCCTGCTCTCACCGTGTGCTTCTGTGACCCTACAAGGAAGTGCACGTGGGAGAAATGGAGGAAACAAGAAATGCGGCCTCTGGCCCTCGTGTCCTGGAGGTGACACCCTTGGAGAACACACTCTTTCTGCTCTTTCCCAGGAGGTTATTACTTGACGAGTGCCTACGGGGCACTTTCTCTGATAAAGAATTTCCAAGAAGAGCAAGCAGCGAGACTGCTCAGCTCCGAGACCAGAGACACCCTGCGGCAGTGGCACAAGCGGAGGACGGCCAACCGGACCATCCCTTCTGTGGATGACTTCCAGGTGGGTGAGCAGCCTGCGCCCCGGAGCCGCTGGCCCAGCACACGGGCTCTGCCGTCCTCCCTGTGTTGAATCATCTGGCAGAATACGGATATTTCAAACCTCTCTAACCTTGTTTCGCTCCTTTGTTTTCCTGAAATGTATATAGACATAGGATGTTTGGCCCCAATTTTGCTGCCCTTAAGAAAGTAAAGTCCAGGCCGGGCGTGGTGACTCATGCCTGTAGTCCCACAGTGTGGGAGGCTGAGGCGGGTGGATCGCCTGAGCTCAGAGGTTGGAGACCAGCATGAGCCAGAGTCAGCCAGAGTGAGACCCTGTCTCTACCAAAAAAAAAAAAAAAAA